TGTGCATTTTGATGGTTGCAATCATATCGTTGTACCAAATCGAGGTTGAAGTAGCTTCTGGTCGTCTACCGTTGCTAGTCAATGCTCGAGATCTCAACTCAAACCCAAATGTCATCGTACACGGTATGTTTTGTTTTTAAATTCTTAATTTTAATAATTATTTACACAAACTTCTCATTTTTAGATGTTTTAACGATCTTATTGTTTTTATTGGTTATGTAACATAGTCTGGTTATATGAAAATTGCAGCTTGTACAAGTCATTGTTGGAGCAGTTGTTGCTATTGCGATAAAACCCAAAATCCGCCTATTTGTACGAGGTGTTGTTAATACGAGGTGTTATCTGAACATGGAATTCGTTCGTACTACATAAAATAATAATTTGTTTGAGTTGATGCATATTATCTCTTTCTCTTAATCAAACACCCGTAGAATAAGCAAATTGATCATTGTAATTTCGTAAATTTTATCGTTGAGGGTGTTTATCTGTTGAAATCCAGTGGATTTAGGTGTATCTAATCCGATTCAATCATCCAATGGATGTTTGAACTTGAAATATGATCTGTTCCAATTGATGTTTGGATTATGGTTAAGTATTCTAATAAACTATTTAATAGTATTTTAAGTTTATTAACCAAACAATTATATACCATATATGTAAATATGTTAAAATAAGTTAATACGACGTTTTTTTGATTTCCTAACAAGATTTTTAGAGCAATTTTGAAATAAAACATTTCAAAAGCTTACTTTAAAAAACTTGTTACGATGTCAAATACGTCACAACATCCTATTATAGTACTTTTACATGAGATGCATAATTGTTTGGTACTATAAATCAGTTTATTAAGACATTTAGCTATTTTTAGCGTTCTATAAAACTGATTTTGTTATGGTGGTCTAAGTTTGTGATTCATGATGTACGTTCATAAGATAATTCAGTTGAAACTAAACGACAATATATATATAGGGGTAGGTTCTTGTGTTAACCCAATTTATGGTAGTAACTTTGTAAACTCATCACAATAATTCATCTTGTGAATCAATTGAATATAATTATGATGTCAATTTTGTAATAATTAATAATATAATACATTATCATCTAAAATGAATATACATGAACAAAGGTATTATTGGAAAAAAAAATCACAATGTTTGTAACTGCGCATTAATAACATTAATGTTCATATGAACATTAATATACACATGGACATCTCCCCTTATATGAATATGAGTTCACTTATAAACAATGTGATTATGTTGATTAATATTTGAACAATGTTCTCATATGTTCACTTGCCCATTCCACATTTTCATATATTGACATACAATGAACACTGTACATTTATGGAAATATGTTCACCGGTGATTTCGTGATATTTTCTCCATACCGTTCATATCACCGGAAAGAACATTAACAATACGTTTCAAAAATATTCACTTGTGATTTGTTCACTCGGATTAACAGTTTAGCCAATGTGTATGTTAATATTCACAATTTCAAAAAAATGTTTCATCGTGATTTGTTCACTCAGATTAACAATTTCATCAAGATTAATTTTATTTAATGATAATACATTATGTAATTTGAATAATTATTCAAATTACATATTCCCTACAGTCAAGCAACTTTCAAATTGTAACCGCTCATTAATTAATACAAAATGTAACTTACATGTATATATAATTTAACCTTATGTCCTCCATCTCATAATCAATAACTTATTGAAACCTACTAGAAACAATGAATCCTACTAGTCCACTACATAGTTAATGTAACATCCCAGGATCTACATTTGCATATAATCATGTATTTCATATATCAAAAAATACAAATACACAAGCAAGATAATTCCATCGAATCTTCCTAAGTTGTAGAAGTCCTCGGTGGAAGAGTAGAAGCGCTGGTCCCCTTCGGGCCGTGTCTCAGTCCCAGTGTGGCTGATCATCCGAAAGTTTTTTCCTTAATTAGCCGGCCTACACTGCGGCTACCACAATCTAAGTTGCTTCCTCCTCATTGAATTTTATTTTTCCATTAGAATGGGCTTTTGAAAAAAAAAGAGAAGAGGTCCCAAATATATATATATATATATATATATATATATATAGGGGCCTAATCAAATGAGAACTGATTAGTTTGTGGTAACTGTGAGGTCCAATGTGAACCAATCATTTAAATAATTAATGTTATATCCTAAAATAACATAAAGAGTAAATTAGTAATGTTTATAATTATAAAACCCTAGTCTTCTCCTTCATAGCATGCTCTCTTCCTTTATATTCCCCCTTCTCACGCACAACCACCACCACACCATCATGCATCATCATATGAAAATCAATCAAATCAGGTACCAGAGTTTTTATAAAATTAAATAATGGTTTTATATTTATTCCCACCATGATGATGATGATGATGATGATGGTAGATTAGATAGGGGTTATAGGGCAATAGTAAATGCGAGCATAGAAAGAGGAAAGAATATGGAGAGCTTTCAGTAGAAAGCTTCCTATCTCCGGCGTTGCAAAAACCAAACAAAAAACAAAAACTTCCGCTAACCGCAATCATGCGATTGGAGTGGAGGTAAAATACAGATGGGAAGGGGTTTTAAGAACGATCTCTCGCCGGAGATGTAGCACAGGTGTCGTCGGAGATGTAACTCCGAAGATGTGTCACTCCTTTTCTGTGATACACAGTGATACCCCTTTGGTATCACAATATATCACAATGGGTATCACAATATATCACAATGGGTATCACATTGTGTATCTTTGTGGTTACTTGGTACCTGCCGGATTTTTGTTCACCGGAGGCCGGAGATTGGAGGTCGGAGAGATGAGAGAGAAGAGAGGAGAGATAAGTTTTTTAAAAATACCTAAAATGCCCTCTAATTATAATTTTAACTCAAACTACCATAATTATTAATTTCCTAATTTATCCGTTAATTTGTAGTTGAGATTGGATCTCACAGTTACCACAAACTAATCAGTTCTCCCTTAAATGAGCCCTTATATATTCTTTTTTCACAAAATCTCTATACAAAACTTGTACTCACAAGCAGCATGCAGGTACAAGTAACAACACATTATCCCAAGATCCATATACATGCAATCATATATTTCTTCATAAATTTCTCTTTCCCCTTATCAACCGGTTGTCTGTTCTGTAATGCATATTTTAGAACACCAAAATGAGGGTTAGACCTTGAGGTCTAGTGAGAAATCCCTTTTATGCAATTACAGCATGAATATCACCAAAT